GGGGGATGAAGACAAAAGTTGCGTTGTATTGGAGACACGATTCGATGATATCCTCCAAAATCGAACATGTTTTGATTTGGGTGGATTTGTTCATAATTTGTTTTATCTTGGAGGAATTGATTAAAGTGTCTGTCATATTTTTGGAGGATTTGATCAAAACGGGTTTGATCTTTCGAGGATCTGATTTGGTAGCTATTGTCCCGCCAATAAAGGAAAAAAATAGGCTGTCCCGATTGTATCGAATGAATTGAATTATCAAATTAATTAAATGTATCAGATGAATGAAAAGTATTAAGTGCGTGAAAATGAAATGTATCAAATGCATGAAATGTATCACGTGAATGAAATGTATTAAATGCATGAAGTAGCAAATGAATGAAATTTATATGTATCAAATTATCAAATGCACGAAATAGATCAGATGGGCAATGTGAAGTGAGTGGGTTTCAGGTTGGAAGATCGGTAGCTCTCTGTCGTTGCTCGATTGTTTTTTTTGTTTTTAAAGTTTTGTTAATGGTTTTTTAAAAATAATCTTTTAATGAAGGTTCTTTGTTTGGGTGCTAATGTACATGTGTATCTCAGCCGGGGGTTGCATGTGACTGGTAGTTTCGCCAAAGATCGTGTAGTAGATAATCTTTGGTTTCACGGCAGCAGGCATTCCCAACGCCCTGTAAATTAAATGCCAATAGGGGCTTAAAACACTTTCTATAGATAAAAACAGATCCTCCTAGGGATTTCAGATTGTAAAGTAATGTACATTCATGTGCAACTTTCCTCTTGTGTGAGTTCAACAACCACAACACTACACACGTTTCAAGAGCGCTTCACCGGCGCACGCAGACTTCCTGTGTGGAGAGAATGTTTGGTCGCTTTTAAGGACAAGCGGGCTAACCCAGATTTCGGGGGGTTCCAGAAACCTTGAGCTACACCAAAAGTGGGCATTGCCCTACCTATCGGATAGGTAGATAAAAGCACCACTTGAAAAGTAAGCTGTTAGCAAGTTATACAACTGTGGTTGTCATCACACGAGATGCTGAAACTTTTTGAGAGTAGACCTATACATGTAGCCTGTTCATGGTAAATTTTTATATTCATTCGAGCACACAGATGCACTGGTTTTGAGGGACAATCGGCCACATTATTTGCTGCAGATCACACATGGCCACTAAACTGTCGCAAATAAATTATTTTCAAGAAAATTTTGCTATCGCATTGCTTAACCCTATCCGTACGCTCTGGGGTCATTTTGTACACCCGGAGTTGTATTCTTAATGTTTTAGAATACTTCTAGTGCGAAGATCTCTTTGAAACTTTCAGTATTTCTCAAAAAATCATTTTGACAGACGCAAAGCGTACGTATTAACGAGTAAATTTCCTCTTTGGAAAGTAGTGACACAGAATTCCCCTCGTCGTATGGATACGATAGTAAAACTCGACGTACCGATAGGGTTAAAATGCTCGATCAAAGTTCCGATCTGCTCAGATCAGGGGTCACTTGGACTGTACTGCAGCCTAGTTTGGTACTATCAGAAGAAGGAGATACTATCAGAAGAAGGCCTGTGCTGACAAATTTAGACGAAGCGGACCAAAGAAGGAAGAATATCTCTACAGGTTGTAGATAGCAGCGGTATCAGGGAGAGATGGGGCCTTGACGCTTCGATAAAACACTTGACGGGGGTCTAGACTGACACACGCTTATTCTGTCTATGGTCTATTTTTTAAAATATTTTTTGGGGGTCGCCTCTTCCTTACTTTTCCTTTCTCTCTCTTTCTAGCTTGTCTTTTTTTTTCTCTAACATGTTTCTCTCTCTCTCTCTCTCTCTCTCTCTCTCTCTCTCTCTCTTTTTTTTTTTCTCTCTCTCTCTCTCTCTCTCTTTTTTCTTTCTCTCTCTTTCTCTCCCTCTAGCTCTATTTCTCTCTAGCTTTATTTCTGTCTCTAGCTTTGTCTCCTCTCTCTTTCTCTCTCTCTCTCT